GAGGCCTGCTGTAGGCAGGGCTGGTGGCTTTGCTTGGTGCCTACCCAAGGGGCTGTGACTCAGAAACGGGCCCAGAAACGCATCGTGTGCGATGTCCCGCGTGCGGTTTGTGCGTGCTCCGGGATGTTGACTTGAGGTTTCTCCAGCCTGCTCTAGTGGGTTCCCTTCCCTCTCACCTGCCTCTTAAAAAAGCATTTGCATTTACTTTCTATTAAATATGAAGGATCAATCCGTTTTGGACAAAAATCCCAAGTATTTTCCATCTAAAAAACTTCTTTTTTCCTCTGCAAAATATCTCTCAATATAGGATTGAAAAAAACCCCCAAGAACCTGCAGGCTGTGTCTGGTTAAAAGAAGTGGTGAGAACATGAAAAACATTGTGGCAAAAAGCACAGAGGAAAGAGAATACAAGGAGGAGATTTCTCTGTCTGAGGTGACATTTTGTGCGTGTGACTACAGACTGCCAGGTTAGGTACCGCGAGTGACGGCGGATATTCACCCTGACTCCCTAGCGATGTTTCCATGAGACTTAGAAGTTTACCTTCTTTTTCCTGGACTTTTTCCTGTTTGCACCTTCTACAGTACTTACAGCACACGTTTTTCAACAAGACCAATTACTGAAACTAATTACTGAACCCAGGTGATGCTGTCGGCTAGGTGGAGACTTCCGTTTACGCCACAGCTGAAGACGGAGGTCCCAGCATGTGGGATGCCGGCAGCTGTAGCACCGTGGTCACGCTTGACTCCGGGGACAGGAGCGCTGCGTTCTCCTGGCACCGCGTGGAAAGGTATGGCATGTCCTTTACTCACGTGTGTTGTTGTGCTCTCTGTTGGAGTTATTCGTGCTTTTGTACCCCCGGGAGTGCAATTACCTTGTGTTTCTCCAGTTAAAATCCCCACGTCCGCAGTCTGTACGAAAGGTTTGTTGTTGATCTCGGGCTCTTCTTTTGCGGGCAGAGTTTTGGGGTCAGCTGGATGAGGCTCATCTCTCGTGTCAGTAACCTCCTGGAAATGTATGGCCGGCTTGGATGTCCCTTTAGAAACAATAATCATTTCTTCTATTGTGTCTTTTTTATCTCTTGTGGTGGTCTCTTTGGTAACTGCAGTTGCCTCTCCTTTCTCAGTACCAGGGGCCTTTTCAGTGGCATCCTGCATTTCTTTTTCAGGTGTGAGGCTGGTGTCTTTGATGGTCATTACCTCTTTTTTACTAGCTGTTGTTGTCTCTACAACAACACAGGCAGCACTTGTGCTTTCTTTAGCTACTGTTGTCACAGTCTGCCTGGTTCCCAGGGTTGTGTCTCTTTTACTTGTTGTCTCAATCTCCCTGGGTTTAGGAGTTGAACGTGTTTTGGCAGTTGTCAACACAGTGGTCTTGGGCATGGGAGTTGTAGCTGTGCTTGTTACAGTCGCTGTTCCCACAGGGCTTTCCTCTTTTTTGGCAGTTGAAGTCTCCTTTGGTATGGGAGTCTTGTCTTGTTTAGCTAGGGCTGGTTCTTTTTCTGCAGCTGTTGTGGCAGTCTTTTTGTCCGCAGTAGTTGCTTCCGACTCAGCCGCTGTAGCGACAGCTTGCTTGGCTGTAGGAGTTGTATTCGGAGTATCGTCCTTCCCTTCAGCTGTTACCACCGGAGTTACAGTAGTCGTGTCTTTCCTACTTGTGGTGATAATGTCTTTAAGCACAGTAGTTTTGTCTTTCTTGGGTGTTGTTATCTCTTTGTTCACCGTAGTTGTTTGTATTTTACTTGTGGGCTCTTTGGTTGTAGGAGTAGTAACAGTTTTAGCTGTTGTCTTGTCTTTTTTGTCAGTTATTGATACAACCTCAGTAGCCTTAGCTGCAGTCACCACTATCCTCTGTACTGCTGTAGTCGTGTCTTTTCCAGTTGTGGTAGTTGCTAATTTGGGTGCAGGAGTTGTAATTTTCTTCTCTGTTGTTGTTTCTGAAACCATTACCCCTGCATCAGGTATGAGTGTTTGCTTGCTAGTTGTTGTGACCGCCTCCTTCCTTGGAGTGGTTGTGGCTTTTTTAGCAGTTGTTACTAATACAGGGACAGTAGTTGTCACTTGAATAGGTGGTGTTTTCTTCAGAGCACTTGTGTCGGCCTCAGTGGCTGCAGAGGTAGTCCCCTTGACCTTAGGAGTGGTGGAGGAGTCTACTTTGGAGGTCGGTGCCTCCGGGGTTGTGTCTTCAGGTTTGGGGGTGGTGGGAGACTCAGCCTTGGTCGTTGGTGCCTCCGGGGTTGTGTCTACAGCTTTGAGGGTGGTGGGAGACTCAGCCTTGGTTGTTGGTGCCTCCGGGGTTGTGTCTTCAGGTTTGGGGGTGGTGGGAGACTCAGCCTTGGTCGTTGGTGCCTCTGGGGTTGTGTCTACAGCTTTGAGGGTGGTGGGAGACTCAGCCTTGGTTGTTGGTGCCTCCGGGGTTGTGTCTTCAGGTTTGGGGGTGGTGGGAGACTCAGCCTTGGTCGTTGGTGCCTCTGGGGTGGTCGGTGCCTCTGTGGCCTCTGGGGTGGTGTCTTCAGGTTTGGGGGTGGTGGGAGAGTCGGCCTTGGTCGTCGCTGCCTCCGGGGTGGTGTCTTCTGGTTTAGGGGTGGTGGGAGACTCAGCCTTGGTCGTCAGTGCCTCAGGGGTCATGTCTTCTGGTTTGGGGGTGGTGGGAGACTCAGCCTTCGTCGTCGGTGCCTCCGGGGTCGTGTCTTCAGGCTTCGGGCTGGTGGGAGAGTCGGCCTTGGTCGTCGGTGCCTCAGGGGTCGTGTCTTCAGGTTTGGGGGTGGTGGGAGA